TAATCTCAATCAGATCCGATCAGATTTTGAAATCCCATTTTTTGTGATCCAGGATCAGACAAGTCGGCCAGATTTTGTCCCTGGAGTTCAAAGCAATGCAGGATAGGATCAGCCTGATCCAGATTCAGACTTTTCAAGATGACTAGATCCTGAATATCAGTGCTTTAATCCTACCGATCGCCATCTAGTGGACATGAAAAATAATACAAGGAAGACAAGAGACCACATTGCAGAGACATCTATAATGTCTAATTATATTTTTTTAATTTGAAAGGTGATGACAGATGATGGAGTTTTTTTTTGTTGAATATATTTTTACTTTAATCTAAATTACATTTTTGATTGACAATCTTTGTTGTGATACTTTTATGAGAATAAACATTTATGTCATCAACATTTGGTTGAAAAACAAATAGGCCACCACAAACGTGAGCAAAAATGGATAAATAAAATGTATTTCCCATGAAGGCTAAAAAGTGTGTATTATTTCAGTTAACAAACATTGCCATCTTATTTAAATTGAAACATATTTTAAAATAAATGGTACAGTACATTTTGCTCTGGTAATCCACTGGAAACCCACCCCTCTGGTGGGATCAGGGTAATCCAGTTTTTTGGGATCAAACTGATCCCAATCCTGTGTTGTCGGTTTGAACTACCCGTTTTGAAGATTTGATCCAGATTAAAGCTTTGATTGGTTTTCCTGATCTGATCAGATATGAAAGTCATCCTAATCCTGTTTTTTGGTTTTGAACTCCCCAAAATCCAAATCTGATCAGATAGGGATTAAAAGTTTTGAACTCCTGGGCCCTGGTGATCCCCAACATATTATCCTTCATTTTTATTATCCAACGTTCATCCTGCACTCGCACACTGTACTGTGAGTCGACTCCCCCTTGTCTTGAGTCTTAACAAACCAATAAGTTAAAGTGTAATCTGATGTCTTGCAGGGATCCATTTGCTGCTCACAGGCAGCAGATGAGGATGATGTTCGGACCCTTCGGCATGGATCCCTTTGCTCTCACCCCCGCGATACAACCCCCCCGCGCCCCTCGCAGACAGGTAACTCTCCGCCATGTTGAGCCAAACACACATCTGTTTAGATTAGCTTTGTATTATCAACCCGCCACTTTAAATGTCCTTTTAGTCTTTATTATGTACCTACCTTCATATTGTTTTATTTATTTTTTGGTCTTTTTATTTTTATTTCTGTTGTACCGATATGTTCACTTTGTTTGATGGGGTTTCATATTGTTGCATCGACTCAGTTGTCTTGTGTCTTATCGGTCAGAGAGAAACCATTATGTATTGTTATTATCATACCTTTGACCTCCGTGTGCCTCTCTGATAACACGTTATATTTGCTGCATGTACCTTTTAAAGTTCTTAACAAATAATCTGAGGGGAATTCCTTGTTGTTTGTTTGAATTTGTGATGTGTCATTTTGTAAAGCACTCTGAGCTGCATGTGTTGAATGAAAACTGACATTAAGTGACCCATCCTGTTCGTACCTTTTTAATCTCATTGTACATTTTCTTTCAGGCTGGTGCCATGACCCCCTTCGGCATGATGGGAATGGTAAATAGCTTCTTCTTTGAGCTCTTTCAAAAACTTGAAACATATAGTTTAAAAGTAATTGTACAGATGACACATGTACAATCAAGTGACTTCACCATGTGTCAAAGAGTTTACTGAACTTCATGTGAAATCACAGCATTGTGTGAAAAGCCGTCTCCATGTATTCTAGTTTTAAATCTCATGGTCCATGTTACATTTCAATTAAGTTGGGTTTACACTTAAACACTATAAGGGCAATGTGGTGGGAAAAGACGCCATATTTACTTGAATCTGTGCTTGTCTTTTTCACCTTACCAACAGAATAAGGACAAAAGAAACAGGACTTGTTTCTTTTTCCAAAGAAAAACGTAAATTCCATCTCACACTTATCTTATTGATTTATCTAAGAAGAGCTTTTGGTCATAAAAGGATCTTTCTTAAGACATTTCAACAATCATTAAGTGCTTAAATAAAGCCCATAACTGCATGTTAGTCAAGCTGTGTCCATGATCACACACAGAATAAACAACCACTCAGAGATTGCATTAAAAAAAAAATGTATATTCATCAACATAACCCAATATCACAGTTTGCAAATGGCTGTCCTAAAACTTAAGTGTGTTTCATGCTTCTTCTTGCTCTAAAAAGAAAGTTGAGAGGCTTATAAGAATGACCATCGCTGCACTAAACTGACGATACAAGCTGTACTTTCCAACACTGTGTTAATACTTGACGTCAGTTGATGATTTAATAAAGTTACATTTTTGCAGGGTGGTGGTGGAGGTGGTGGAGGAGGGTTCATGGATATGTTTGGCATGATGGGAGACATGATGGGAAACGTGGTGAGTAGTCCTGTGTAGCAGTTTCCAAATGAACACACAGTAATGACCCTCATGAATGAAAGCTGTGTCTGAACGCCACTCCATTTATTTTCTTCTCGCAGGAAAGAATGTCCGGCTCATCGAACTGTCAGACGTATTCCTCTTCGACGATGATCTCCTACTCCTCTTCAGATGCGGGGCCTCCTGAAGTTTATCAGCAGACGAGTGCGACGAGAACAGGACCAGGAGGGGTGAGGACAACTGATGATTAAATACTTTTCAATTCAAGGATTCAAGGCTTTTATAGTCATGTGTACATAGCTACAGTGTAGATATGACAATGGAAATCTGAGGTCACAGGCTGCTCCAACAGTGCAACACAATAACACAGATACAGAATATAGTAGACATAGTGCAGAATACAAGTCATTGGAATATTGATATAAATTGCAAACAGATTCATGTTAGAATAGAATTTGGATGAACCCCTCTTTAATGGTCTCACATGCAGAACACACAGTGACATGTGTTCTCTGCTGTTAACCCATCCTAGTACCAGGAGTCTAGTACTAGGAGCAGTGGGCAGCTATTGTACAGCGCCCACAATGGGAGTGGGGGGGGGGAAGGGGGATGTCCGGTGCCTTGCTCAAGGGCACCACGGCAGGGCAGGAGGTGAACTGGGACCTCTCCAAGTAGAAGTCCACACTCCATATTTTAGGTCTGGTCGGGGACTTGAACCGTCGACCCTACGGCTCACAGTCCAAGCCCCTAATGACTGAGCCACTGCCGGATGTTCTTTCAAAAGTTCACAATACATATAGGGAGGGAGCGCTGATTGGTGCCAAAGCCTTCCTTCTTGACCTGACTACACTGACTAAACTCTATTTTTATTAAAGATCGGCAAATACATTAG